AGCAGGGAGGTGCGCTGGCTGCACAACCCTCACCACAGCAGGGCAGACAGGGGCAGCCCTGGCTTTGGGAGGGATGGAAAGAGCAGTGTTGGCTGCCACTGGAGCTCTGTAGGAATTGTTTAGTCATGCACCGATCATTCCGCGAACAGAAGTTGGCCCCGGACAACTTAAATAGCTCAGTGTGTTGTGGAAAAGACTGCTGGCAGAGACTGAAAGTAGAGATTGTGTAGTTTCAAAAGCAGTTTAAATCTGCCTGATTCAGAGCTTAAGCATCCTCTCTTTCTGTGTGTATTTTCACACTGTGCTTAATCGTGGTTTATCAGCTTTTTAAACCCCAGGCTAAAGGCACTTTAACCCTGGGCAATGCAACATTCACACTTGTAATTTCTTTCGAATGCTTCTGACGATGTGCTGCAAATCTGTGCCACAAAGAACCATGGCTTTTTGGAAAAGGTAGCATGAATCTACCATGTTTTTTAACATGTACAATGGTACTACCTTTTTAACTTTAACCATGGTTCTTCCATGTTTTTGAGCATGTACTGTGGTATTCTTGGAAGTACCTTGGAGCACCATGAATTTTAGTACCATGGTATATATCAAAGCATCTATGTATTATATTATATTACATTACATTACATAAATCAATTATTTAATATTATAACATAAACAGTGTCCAAAAAAGGGTCACCATAATTTTGGTGCCAAATATAAACCAGTGTTATTTTGCTATTATTTACATGTATTAATATTTTGAATTAACTTTTATTTTCAGTGTATTTTAGCATGTCCCTGTTTAACAATTTCAAGTGTGAAAAAGCCCATCTCTCTTTCCGTTCTTTCTAAATGAACGGATTTGCCTGGCCTATTATACGTTCAGAGAACATATGCACACCTTGCCAATATTGCAAATAAAATTCCTTAAGAGGATCATAAGGTTATGCTTTATGCTGAGGTCTGCTCCTGACTCGTCATATTCAATCCGCGCTTATTCAAATCAGCAGCAGGGGTGAATGCTAATTTGAGGTTTGTGATATTCACTTGGCAGCCAGGAGGCAGGCCATCCAGCAAGAATCCCTGATGAGATTAAACGTGTCGGAGTCATTGAGAGGAGCGATTGTCAAAGGGTTCTGATACAGGACGTGGGGTACGGGGGCAGGACACGTTTGTGTACACAGAGTTGATCCAGAATCCAGAGACACTTAAGTCCCTAATCACACATGCACCGGTTTAGCCGCTTTGATGGGTGAAATAAGGGGAAATGAAAAGGAATAAGAGCTCAAGGTAATCTTTGTGACTGGATGTCTGAAGATCACATGCGCCAATATCTCTCTGTGCACCTCCTACGTAAGAACCGATAGCAGAGACCCCACTGTTTTGACAGCTAAATCACCTTCCCCAGCTAATCTACCACTGTGTGTGTGCACATAGGATCATTGTTTAAAGTGTGAATGCATACCTGCTTACATGGGGGTGTATGTTTAATGAGTGAGTGTGAATAATGCGACAGCAGCTGATTCCCGCTCTGGTCGTGTGGGAGGGTTTGGGGCTTTGTTTGTGCTGTTTTGCTTTGTGTGTGGTTGTGTGTTTACTTGCTGTAGGTGGCATCTTTGTGGAGGTGGTCACGGTGAGATTGATCAACCTTGTAGCCTGATGCAAAACAAAGTTGGAGTTTTTGTTGAAGTTTCTGTTGATTAGCATTTTTTAATGCATAGGTATCATGAACTAGCAATACATTACCATTTTATAGCATTTATTAATCTAGATTAATGTTAAGTTATATTTATATTTATTAAATATATATCATTTATTATTTAATGTCAGTGTTAATTCATAATACATTAATGTAACATTTCATGTTAGCTATTGTATTAGCTATTGTTAAAAATGTAAAAATATAAATAGATAATTCTAGAAAAATATTTTTAGATATATTTTTAATAATGTAAATAAAAGTTCCTATAAATTCAAAAATATACCACCCATACAATTTGCATAATTGTACTAAAAAACGATATTGTTAAAATATATTGTGTGTGTGTGTGTGAGAGAGAGAGCGAGAGATGCATATATATATATATACACATACACAATTAAATGATTTGCATGTTTGTGCAAAACAGCAGGTCATTATATTATTAGTACATTATATTATTCACAGCATACCATATTGTAGTCTCATTTTATTTTATAAATCACACGTGTCGCCACTTTACTCCTTGTCCCATCTAGATTGCGATATCATTTAGGATCATAATACAGTCTATTCTTAACTTAAGACTTAAAACAGGACGTTTCTGTAATAAGACCTCATTAGGGTAAAAAAAAAAGAATCTGAGATTGTTAGTAGATGCACAGATTGTGACTTACAAGCAAGATCAGAGAGGTGTTTGCAATGGAAACACAAGCACTTCCATTGTTAGTAGAGTACTTCAGGAGCACACCTGTCTTTGATTTTATTGGCTTAAATGACTTATATCAGATCAAATGATTGTTCTTGCTATTTCAACCATTTTGCAGTTGTCCTGTAACTCCTTTCCTCTCTAGCTCATTGTATTTCCTCTCCAAACTCAACTGTGCTTTCATTTGGGGTTTAGAGAGTTCATTTTGGACCAGGTTTGTGTTGTACTTCTGCTGTCACCTGGATGACATAAATTGACCCGTCTATGTCTGTCTGTTTCTGCGCAGGGTGTGAGCGGTATGTCCGTGGATGAGAAGTCTGAAGCTCCCATGTACGTGTATGAGTCGACGGTGCACTGTACCAACATCCTGCTGGGTCTGAATGAGCAGCGGAAGCAGGGCCTGCTCTGTGATGTGACCGTGCTGGTGGAGGGGAAGGAGTTCCGCGCGCACAGGGCTGTCCTAGCAGCCTGCAGCGAGTACTTCCTACAGGGGTTCATCACCCAAAGTGACAATGAACTGGTTCTCAGCATGCCAGAGGAGGTATGGATAAACACATTTTTATCATGCACATTAATGGTCCAATAAATTACTGAGAGGTTGCCAGGTCACTGGTGAATACACTACCATTCAAAAGTTTTGGGTCAGTTATATTTTTTAAGCAATATTTTTATTTAGCAAGGATGCTGTAAATTGATCAAAAGTGACAAAGAAATGTATAGTGTAGTTAAGTTATTTTACAATGTTACTGTTTTACTGTAATTTTACTGTATTTTTAATAAAGTCAATTAGACTTCTTTCAAAATACATTACAAAAACATTTTAAAATCTTACAGACCCCAAACTTTTAAATAATATTGTATGTTTTAGGTGGGCCTCACAACATAGCATTTGAAAGTATCGCTAGTAAAAAATTCCTGACATGGTTTTTCATGCATCACTTTTCCAGTATACTAATGTCATGATGTACAGTAAAGCATGACTATAATCACCCCTCATCACCTGTCTACCTAGCATATGGCAGCGGCCATTATTTTACTCATCTTTTTGAGCAAAACCGTGTCTCTCTAACACACACTCATACACCTACATGAGCAGTAGTTTGTCTTCTCTCACAGCCCCAAAATGCACATTTAATGAACTAGCATCTGTTGCATTAACCCTCCATCTCTGCTCTTCGGCTCATGGATCTAAAATTAAGATGCAAAGTTTCTCGAAAACAAAGCATTAGCATAACAAATGGATGTATTTATTATGGTTTCTATTACGTAGCTGAGTAAGAACATAGTGTGATTTTAATGAGATGCACTTGATTCATTTCCTCCTTTTAGACTGTCAAGTAGCAATTTAGTGTTTTAATGACATGTTTAAGTTCATATCAACTGAACAAAAACAAGGCAGAGATTTCAATGAA